TTCACATCCACAAGCCAGGCACGGTGGCCGGATGGGCCGACGGAAATCATATATACACATATGTCGATACATGCATAAATGTATATATATATATATATACAGATAGAGAGAAAGAGAGAATCGTTTCAAATTTTCGTTTTGTAACGTCCAATGGTAATTCCTCACTAAATTCATCCTTTTCTCACCCAGAAGCCCGCCGCCACGAAAGAAGCCTGCCGGCAACCTCGACGACGACGAAGCCCTCGCCCCAACCCCCCTCCACGCGCCGCCAGGCTGGCCCAGGGAGAGCGACAGGATTCGTATGTCCTGGACCCTCCCCTGGAAGAGGTCCTCGGCGTCCGAATGCCACCCCACCCCGTGGCTCCCGTTCTCGTAGAGGTTGACGTTGCAGCCGTTCGGCCACCCCGAGGGGTCCGTGATGCCGCAGAACGGCATGTATAGGCCAAGCAGCTCGTGCATCCAGGCAGGGTCCGCCTGGCGCCGCTTGGGGCCACGAGGGCCGTGAGGTCCGAAGTGCTGGCTCGAGCCCACTCTGCATACCAGCGCCAAGGTGGCGCTAAGACAGGCAGCGTCCGGAGAGACCGCGTGGCTTCCCAGCCGGCCTCACCTGTAGGCGGAGCCAATGCCGATGTGCGGGCGGCAACGGCCAACAGGGGAAAACATGGAGAGAATAAGGCGATACTGATACCCAAATCAAGTTAGCAGTATACTGACGTTGTGAATCGAAATAAAAGAACTACGATCTAGACGAGGGGAAAACGGAGGGAACAAACAGTGAGTGATGACACGGTGAGAGAACGCATGCATACCGGACGTGACCCCAAGCAACAAATCAATGCACTGTGCATGTGTGAGCTATGTGGTGCAAGCTACGTGGTGTACGCTGTGCGGTGCAGTCTATGGTGTGCAAGCTATGTGGGTGCAACTTGTGGTGCAACCCATGTGGTTTCCGCCATGCGGTGCAGAATAGGGGCTGCAAAGCTTGTGGTGCAAGCTTCGTGGTGGAAACTATGCGGTGTGTGTGTGTGCAGGCTGTGTGGTGCAAGCTACGTTGTAGACGCTACGCGGTGCAAGCCATGCGGCCGACCAGCGCACGAGGCGCCCGAGGGCGACATCTCGGCCGATCAACCCGTCCCAACAACGCACCCACGAGGCGCCCGCGAGCGGGCACCGGGCGAAACCTCGACCGACCCACCCATCACGAGGCGCCCACGAGGCGCACACGGGCGCCCACCGACAAGGCACCGAGAGAAACCTCTGCAGATCCTCTCTCTCGGCGGCGAGCGAGGGGGGGAGATGAGAAGGGACTGGCCTTCTCAGAAGGCTCGGAAGCCCCCCCCTGGCCTTCTGAGAGGTTTTGTAAGTCCCCCCCGAGGACAGGCAACAACTTTCCAGAAGGCGCGAGGGCTTCTGAGAAGTCCGCCGCCTTCTGAGAAGGCCTTCTCCTTCTCATTTCCCCCCCTCGCTCGCCGCCGACACTAAATTGCGTAGTAGGAACCCTCAACTCCAAATGATAAAGTAAGAGTGTGAATAAGGTCAAACGAAGATGGAGGAACGCATGAACGGAGTGTAAAGGGAAAGATGAGAATCAAGAAGGCAGGCCTCGAGAGGCCTCTAACACCCGACTGCCCAGAAGCCCCAAGACGACCAAGCACGTCCACAGACCACGATCCTCCGTGCCAGAGCGCAGCGCGAGAGACACGCAGCGTGCCCCGCCTTCGCCCCGCCGAAGCGCTGCAACGGTACATGCAGAAACGGCTCAGGACGGCCCCGGGAGCCCCCAGAGAGAGCCCCCCACCCAAGAAAGATACCCCGAGGCACGGTGGAGGGAAGGGCCGAAGGCCACTGGATAGACGGCTGGCTCCACCTCCACCCCGCCGTAGCGGTACGTGCAGGAGCACCCGGGCCGAACCATCCAGCTCGTCTTGCGCGGGAGCGGCCCCAGCGGGCCCTCCGGCTGCAGCCACTCGGTGCCGTCCCGGATCTTCTCGAAGAACTCCCGGCAGCGCGCCTCACCAGAGACGCGCGCACAGAGGCTCCCATTGGCGGCGAGCGAGGGGGGGAAATGAGAAGGAGAAGGCCTTCTCAGAAGGCGGCGGGACTTCTCAGAAGCCCTCGCGCCTTCTGAAAGATTTTTTGTCCTTGGGGAAGGCTGAGAAAATTTCTCAGAAGGCCAGGGGGGCTTCCGAGCCTTCTGAGAAGGCCAGCCCCTTCTCACTTCCCCCCCTCGCTCGCCGCCGATCCCATGATGCTCAATGCGTGCGTGTGCCCAACCCTCCGGCGGACCGGTTTGTCAATCGCGCCATTTTTCTGAACGTCAGTCTCCACGGGCCGTTCTCGCGGGGCCTTTAGACCACGATCCTGGGCCACCGAATTCTGCGCATCGCACCCTCGCGATGCGCGACGTGCGATTAACCCCTCCCTCGCGCCCTCGCACCCCCACGCCGCCCCCCCTGGAGAAGGGCAGCCGCTCGGGCCCACACCGCGACGCGCCAAGCGCTCGTTAAAATCAGGATCGGTCCATCTCAGTCTCGGCCATGCTGGATCAGGAGTTTTGGTCGCCGAAAACGAAGTCGGTCTGCTCACGCCTGCCCCCCCTCTGCCTCGCGACGACGGCGCAGACGATCGGCCAAGGAGGTCCCGAAGGTCTCTGGTCCCAAAAGATACCCGAAGGCTCCCAGTGACCCCAGGAGCAGAAACTGCGGAAAAGCACATGAATAAGAACAAACTCGCAAGGAAACCACGTTTCGATGCTCGACGACGACGACGACGAAGACGACGACGACGTCGACGACGACGACGACGACGACGACGGCGGCGGCGGCGGCGCTTAATGGCGGGGCTGAGACTGCGGCGGCGGCGGCGCTCCATCTTGGCGCGGAGCGCGGACGCCTCCACGTCGGGGCCCGTCCGAGGCCACTCTGGGGTCAATCTAGGGTCAATCCCGGGACAATCAGAATAATGCAAAGTCAATTCGGGGTCATTCCGGGGCCAGTCTGGAGTCAATCCGGAATCACTTCTGGGTCAGTCCGGGACCTGTCTGCCCGGTCACTCCGGGATCCGTCAGGGGTCGCCCCTCCGAGCTGCGGCACCTCCCTGGGGGCCCCAGAAAACTTCTCGGTCTGTTCGAGAAAGTTTCTTCGGAGGCCCAGGCTGGGCTGGCCACCCTGTTCCCCAGGGTAAGGCGCGCCCCCAGAGCCTGGAGAACACTTTTTGTCGGCCTTTTCGGACAAGCTTCATCCGAGGCCCGGGGCTTGGGCCACACTGTTCCACAGGGTACAGCGCGCCCCCAGGGCCTCGAGAAAACCCGCGGGACTTGGACCAATCTTTTCCGAACTCCAAATTTCGCCGTCCCCTCCTTCCCCCGCCCGAGCTGCGGCGCGTCTCCCGGGCTCACCAGGTCGCGAAGGGAGCCTGGCGAGCCCTAGGGTGCCGAAAACATTGTTCTGGCCCGATTGGCTTGTTTTGCTTGTTGTTTTTGTTTGTGTTTGTGTGTGCTTTTTGTTGCTGTTGCTTTTCCAGCCCCAGGGAGACGCCGCAGGTCGTGGAGGACGGCTTGCGAACCCCGGGGTCTGGGGCAAGAGCTGTTCAGCCCTGGGGGAGCTGTCAACCGAACCCCGGGGGAGGGTCGCAAGTCGCGGAAGGGGAGGCCGGCGAGCCGAACTGGCTCGGAAGACCTTCTTGGGCCTGGAAACATGGTTCCGAACCCCGGGGGGGGAGGGGGAGGGACTACCCACCAGACAAGCCCAACCCAACCCAAAAACCTGAATTTCGGGTTGGGGGGGGGATGCGGGCTTCCCATGTGTCTTTGTTGAATGTTCCCCGATCCCCCCCCCCCCCCCACACCGGAAATGGAAGGCAAATCGGGGCCTTCGGGTTGGATTGGGGTGGCTTGGTGGGTGGTGGTGTGAGGGGCGGGTGAGGGGACGCAGGTCGGGGAGAGAGAACGGCAAGCCCTGGGGTTTGGAGGACAACTTTTTTGCCACGATTTTCTTGGGGTGGGCTGCAGGTCTCGGAAAGAAGAGGCCGGCGAACCCTAGGCTCGGAGCAACAACTGTTCTGAGATGAGCGCACGCTTTGCCATGGCTTACCCAGCCTGCACCTATTTGATCATGGGCACGTGAAGTTCATACAAGCCGTGATCATGTTACTTACAAGCCAGTTGTATCCACATGCGACATATGGTAAAGACTACGCATCACACAAAATCTTCCCGTCACGACAATACACTCCCTCGAATAATGCCGCGGCAAAGGTAGCCGCTTGGTGAAGCAGGGTGTCTCAAGTGTGGAACTTGGAACTAACATATTCAAATCATTGTTTTAATCATCAAAAGTGCTCCTTCTATCTGGGATACTAGGACATCAACATCGTATAGTGTTCACCAGCGCACATTGTACACTCACCAGAACATGGTAAGCACTAAAAACTTGCATGGTGAATCCACAGCTTTTGTAGAACATTGCATATAAACTCACAGTTCGATGCTCGCATTGTTCAGAATTCAAGCATGGCGTTGTTCTTTCTGTAGGATATGGGATCATCAACCTTGTAAGGATTCACCAGCGTACACCGCACAATCGCTTGAACAAAGGCAGCAAACGAAGGTTTGTTTCGGACGTCCGCAGTGTTTGCAACCACGCATATTGTTAGCATTTTAATTTTCGCATGTGGAAATCTGTTGGCTCCGTTTGAGCGCCCTGTCACCCCCGCGAATGCTTCTCCTCCGCGTGAACGACCTGCGGGTCAACGACCGCAATTTGCAACGCCGGAGACTACCCTACCGCGCTCGCTGGAAAATCACTCCGCGACTTCTGGGTGGTGGGCCGTCTTGCCGAATCGTCATGCATTTTCGCGGGGGGGTGCGGTTTCAGTAGTTACACATTACGTGCGTTGTCGTTGCGACATGGGGCGCTAGCCGCCGAACAGATTCGCACCCACGCGCGGTATTTGCTGGTCTTGACACTGGGTACATTCCCGCCAGCCCATCCAGACACGATGCCCACGAAAGCTGCCTAGCGAAGCGCGGTGGCGTCAACGCTGTTGACGAGAGAGGCTCAGGAGGCCATCTTGGAGACATCGTTTGGGCGGCCCCCCCTGGGGCCATTATGGGGCCCTAGCTGTTTTGCTGCCTCTTGGGGCCGTGTGTGTGGGGGGGAGTGGCTATTTGGGCTGGCATGGAAGCGGTCGGTTCACACATTGCGGATGTGCCAAGCGCTCCCCGTCGGAGTCTCTTCACGGAGGGCGCGCTGCGGGCCGCAATTGTGATCTTTTGCGTCTCGCTTGGGGCTCGCCCGGGCAGTCTTGGATCTTGGACCCATCTAGCTTCGGAGGCCAGTCGGGCGTGACAAAATGAAGGAGGGCAAAACAAACGACAATGACATCAATTCAGGGTTCGCAGGGCGTCATTCGGCTTTCCCGCTGCATCTTTGAGCCGCCCTGTCGCATGCAGCCTTGAAGGCGACCTTGCATCATCTGACCGCCACCCTCTCCCATCGAAAGCCCATGGGGATGGGGGGTTTTGCGATGCCCCCCCAGAAACAGGGCGTGAACAAAACTGGTTTCCGAAACGGGACTGGCCATCGCCATTTGGGCTCAGCAGGCGTTGCATCGCGACTCCTGTTCGGGTTGTACCGCCATCATGCACTTGTGTCTGAAGGGTACCTCGCGTTTGTCATTCAGGAGTGCGGCAAACTCATGGAGCTGAACAAACTGACGGCCAACGAACACTATCAATGTCTGATGGCTTGTTTGCACAAACACAACTTGTCATATATGATAGAAAAGGTCGCGCGCCAACCGCTTCTCACGCGTCGGGCATAACAGGGCGGCCTCGTATTGTCGCCTCATAGCGTGCATAGAAATGCCAACCGTGTTTGCCACGTCGGAGCTGACCGCGCGCAATTGCCCAACGCGGTGCGCATTGAGATAGCACCGTTGGGAAATCCTCCGAGAATTGCAGCTATTTGGTGGGCTTCTGCCCGTCCCGCCATGCACCGTGTTTGGGTTGTGGTTCGGAGGCCTTAGCATACTCGGGTCTCTTGGGATGCCTCTCGGCTCGGGAGTCTCTTGGTTAGCTCTTGTTTTCTTGTAGGAACATCTTAGGGGCCTGTTGGGGCCTCCTCATATGTCGACCTCCCGACCGATCTCACACATGTCGCGATCGTTTTCACATCGATTTTACGATCAGCCCCCATCGACCCCACTACAGATCTCACGCTCGATCTCACCATCGATTTCAGTGGCGGTTTCATGTCTGGGGCGACATCGCGAGGCGCAATGAAGGGCATCTTGGGGGCACCTGGGGCCATCTTGAGGCTGCCTTGGTCGTCTTGGAGCGTTCATCGGGCCGCCTTGGATGTCTCTTGGGCCCTCTTGAACGCTTCAATGGGCCCTCGAGGCCAATCTCGTTGCCCGCAGCGGCGATGGATGCGCGGGAGGGACATTCCACGTCGTGCCTCGCGGTGCGGTGGCAGATTTGTAAGAACGAGCAGCTCGCTGAGAGAGCAGACGGGCCGCTGGCGCCAACCGGCGGTCCGGCAAAGCTCGGGAGCACTCAAGGGCCTGGCGCTCCGCGGCATTCCGTAAGACGGCGGGCGGCGGGCGGCCAAACGTCACCGCTTCCGACAAGAATGCAGTGGAGGCCAGTCCACAAGAAACCTTCCACGAGAAACCCAACCCTGAGACCCCAGGACGTCCATGGACTTCTGGTGTGGGAACGTCACGTACTACACGAAACCCAAGAAACCCAGGGCACCGTGGAGGCGAGCAGGGTGTTTCATAGTCTGGGTCTCCACAGCATTTTTCAACGACATGCCCTCACGCTCGAACACGCAAAAGCGGAAGCTGCGGTGCGCGGCGTGGCATGCTGAACAGGTTCTGCCAAGAGAAATGACCTGATCTGATGGCTTCAACAGCTGAGGTCCCTGCACGTCTCTGGAAAAGCTTCGCAGAAGGGCAATCAACGAAACGCTGTGGAAACTGATTGGAAACACACTTCGATCTGCGCAT